GCCCCACGCCTCTCCTTGAGGCTCCCTCACTTCTCTCGACATTTTCCTCGCCCCTCGCCCTCGTCCTCCTTCCTCCTTATCACTCTGTGACTCAGCCTCTCCTGTTCCTTTTCTCACTCACTCCGCTTGCTTATCTCTCCGTCTGGGCCTTTCCCCCTCCACTCTGTTTTCTCTTCCCCGACACCTCCGATCTCCGTTCTCCCAGCAGGAGGCTCCTGCCTGCCCACACCCTCCAGGTTCAGGCGGTCAGTTCTTGCCCTCTCGGTCCGCCAGCATTTTTTGAGCTCCTGCTTGGTGCTGGGCACCGGGCTGGCTGCTGGAGAGTCAGAGGTGGCTGGGACCCAAAACCCATCTCCAGGAGCATCATAACCTAGTGGAGGCGAAGACTATACCATAACTAGTGAGTCCTTCCCCAGCGCCAAAGACACTGCACAGCACGTCACACCCTTATCAGCTACTATTTCTAATGATAGCCAGTACTGACTGGGGATTGCTGCGGGCCAAGTCTGTTCTAAGCAGAGTGCATACATTACCTCATTTAATTTCCCCAGCAACCGCTCTCAGGTGGGTAGGAACTATTAATAATCCCACTTGACAGATACAGGCACTGAATGGGGTTAAGAGAGGTTAAGTAAGCATCGGTGTGGGGATTTGAACCAGAGTCAGAGCCCAGATAGAACCGGAGGTCTGGATTCTGCGTCTGAAGGCTTAATGGCTACGGAGGGCTCAGAGAGGGGATGTAACTGGTCCTTGGTGACATAGCTAATCCGTGAAGGGTCCTGGATTCGAGTCCAGCTGTTGGACTCCAAGGGCCAGGACTTAACCACTCTGCCCTAAGATAAATTCCGCACCAGGCGAGGAAACAGTGGGAGAATGTGCTTCCTCCGGGAGCTGGGAGGAGGAAGGAATTGAGGAGGCTGTCCAGGGAGGCATCAGAGAGGCGGCAACCTCATAAGCCTAAGTTTGGGGTCTTTTCCTTCTGTTTGGGTCCTGCCTTTCATTGGCTTTCCTGTGGGAGTTTTGGAGGAGAGGCTTGTGGGTGGGATGGCTTGGACTTGATCTCCCAGCCTTTGCTGGGGAGGGTACGCTGGGAGGAATCTTATAGGAGGGCTTGGGTGCTCTGGGGGCTGCCTCCGCTGGGAGGTGGGAGTGCATTTCTACCTCCACACCTGCTCTTATCCGCCCGGCCCCAGCCTCCCAGTCCTCTTGATGTTCCCAAGCCTCCTGGCTTCCCATGGGTGTGTCCTCACAGCGGTAGTTGAGAGAGACAAAGGACCACGCCTTTTAATATTCACCACACACACAGCACCTATACGCAAAAGGGATACAGAAATGCAAAAGACATAGGCTCCGCTTCCTCTGGTCTAGTTGTGAGACGAAGACTTAAGGCAGAGGAGGCAGAAGAAAATGCAGTAGACGGAACCTGGGGTGGCACAGACTCTCTTTTGATGACCAGGATGACTCGGTTGGGTCCAGGTAGAACAAGCTAAGGGTATTTTCTCCCCCTGTTCCC